ATGTGGGTTATGTTATGTATTCAAGATTCATTTTTAGCTTAAAAAGAAATATTTAGCAACGAAATTCTCTCTTTTTATTTGTATTTTAGCTAACATTAGGATTTAAAATAAATCTGTATAATTAGTTAAGGTTTTTTTATACATCTTACATTTAGCTGACAATGTACATTATTGTCTATTTTGTAGAATGGAATCCAGGACTGAGTTTAAAATAAAGTCCCCACCGACTGATGCGATTTCTGCAGTAGAATTTGGACCAAACTCCACGCAATTTCTATTAGTATCATCATGGGACAGTACAGTACGATTGTACGATATTCATGCGAATACTATGAGACTGAAGTATAATCATGATTTACCAGTATTGGATATCGCATTTCAAGTAAGTAAAAGCTGTTAATTTCTCTATAATTCTTTTTACAATAAAATCTTTTTGCAGGATGCTGTTCATGCGTATAGTGGTGGTTTAGGAAACACTTTAAAGATGTATGATATCAACAGTACTACTGGTATTACATATATTTTTTCTTTAACTTTTGATACATATAATTAAGAATTGCAATTTTACAATTGTGCAATAAACAAAAATTTATAGAGTCTGTTATGGGTACACATGACAAGCCAATCAGGAAGATTGAATACTGTGCAGCTGTGAATGCAATATTAACTGGTGGTTGGGATGCTGCAGTAAAATTGTGGGATCCGAGAACACCTACTTGCGTTGGCAGTTATTTGCAACCAGATGTGGTGCTTGCTTTGTCTGTATGCGGTGACAAATTTGTGGTTGGAACGGCAAAAAGAAAAGTTTGCATTTGGGATTTGAGGAACATGGCTGGCATGTTTCAAAGACGAGAAAGTAGTCTAAAATATCAAACACGTTGTATCAAAGGATTCCCTAACGAACAGGTGAGTTTATATTCTTACATATTCCCTTATACTTGCATATTGATATGTTTTATATCTATAATCTGTCACGTTTTTGTTTACTTTTATGTTTAGGGATATGTATTAAGTAGTATAGAGGGCCGAGTTGCTGTCGAGTATCTCGACACAATGCCGGAAGCTCAGAAGAAGAAATACGCTTTTAAGTGTCACAGGATAAAGGAAAATAATGTCGAGCACATTTATCCCGTAAATGCTATTAGTTTTCATTCCGCGTACAACACATTTGCAACTGGTGGTTCGGATGGTTACGTGAACATTTGGGATGGTTTTAACAAGAAACGCTTGTGTCAGTTCCACCGGTACAACGCTGGTGTTGCTGCACTTAGTTTCAGTCATGACGGCTCTGTACTTGCGATAGGTGTCTCATATTTGAATGAAACTGAAATTCCACCTGGTGGTAGTGACGAGCAAGAAATTTACATAAGATATGTCAACGATCAGGAAACTAAGCCAAAGTAACAGTCAAGAATAGTAACATAAAACGATTGATATGATTAGAAAAACTTCTAAGACGCTATGTATTTGTAACAGGGAGAACAGATAAGAGGAGAAACATTCTGTAAGTTATATAAATTGTAAATAAATATTCTAACTAAATTAATTTATGTTTTATATGAAAATAAGATATTAGTAATTGATTATAGGTTAAATAAATACATTTTATAGAAATATTTTTTCTCAATGTTCAAAAATAGGAAGACAATCACATTTGTACCCACAAAGTTCTTATATCTTGACATAAAAATTTGATAGTGAGTATCGATATTTTTTTTTCAACAGTCAGCATGTCAATATTAAATATTTCATTATTATTATTTAATTAGTTATTATTCATTTAAAAATAAATGTTTTTTTACGTATATGAATATAATAATTTTATATCAAATAGTTAATATTAAGATTCGTTATTATTATAAATTATATCGAATTATATTTGATTTCGAAAAACAAAAAGTTTTTCTACTTTTGATAAAATTATAAAGACAAATATAAATAAACTGGGACGACAAATACCGTATAAAATTTATATATTTACTAATGGACTTCATTAATCAATACAATGATCGCAAACAAGCTACAAAACCTTTACAGAATAAATAGCAGTTTTTACAATGCATATGAGTATGATATAATTGACATCAATTCTCTAAAAATTTTTACTTTCAAAAACCAGCATCTCGAAAAGAAACATTATCAAATAGCAATAGCATAAAATATTAAATAGGATAGAGAAAATAACGAATTTTTCATATCAGTCATAAAACTTATTTCTTTTCGAACGATACAAAACGTAGCCATTTCCCATTCTTGTCGCGCTAATTCTATACTTCAATATCTTTTTCAGCGTAAAATAGTACAGCATTTAGCAATATGTACAAGATACTTAAAAGTATTCGATCGTAAGATACTCAAATGTAAAAGTAAATCAAGTACCTATGTATAATCTTCTTTAACACTAACAAATTGCAAAGCAGATTATTATTGTAAACAATTTATCATAATATAGCAACGGAACATTATATAAAATGAATCTTCACGATGCTTCAAGCTCTAAGCTTTATTGTCGTTATCAATTGCAGTTATTTGAAGAAACGTGGATTATTCACTGCAGCATCAAAACGAATCAATCGATTACATAATCAATAAGCATAACAATTGTATAAAGTGTAATCTAAATTTCAATTTTGAACGCAACTTATAAAATCTGTACAATAGTTTCATATGTTACAAGATCTTAAGAATTGTCATTGGAAATTTTTTGAGTATTTTTATCTTTAAAGTAAAAGATAAAAAAATTAAAAGTTATTTGAATTATTATATTACATAATACATAATTTTGAGCGCAAAGTATACCAGCTTGTTTACTTTTACCATATGTAGAACTTGTAGAAATAATTTCGCGCAGAGTCAAAAATCATATTTTTACATCATGTTTCAAATAAAAAAAAAAAAAAATAGATTGAGGCAAGCTAGAATATTATATTGCCGGATCAACATATAGTGCATGTATGGTTTTGTGTATGCACATGTATACTCTTATTATGTCTCTCTAACTTTAACGATCTCTATAACGTTTGGAATAACAATATGTACATAATATTTAACAATTTGTACTAATGATCTCCTGTTACCTTTGCAGAAATGCCCTCACAAATTAACAAAATCATTATTCTCTCCGCGCATCGTTATAACGCATCCACTTCATTATCATTTTATTCTCTTTGCGATCAACTTTGTGCATTTTTCTTTTCGTTCAAGTTACTCCGAGATTTAAGCTGACATTTATCCATCATTAAAGCGATTTACGTTAGATGATAGAATTAAGTCATTATTAATAATTATAATTATTAACTAAAAAGCTAATTAAATAATTATTGTTAATAAATTATTAACAATAATTCCTTTAATATAATTGTCCTTAATAATTATAATTATTTTATAATTATTAATGTCAGATTTTTAATATTTATCTTCTCTTAGTTCTACGTATACCTATCTTCGCAAATCACGTCCCTCAGTGTATCTCTTATTGTGTCGTGTGTGGCGAAGCTGATTCCAACCGCAATAGGACCCTTCACCCAATTCATACTCAATCCTTTGTAAAAAGCCATTATTCCTTCCTCCCTGTAAAATGGAAAAAAGAACAATATTATTCAGTTTTATATCATGTACAAATATCTCCTTATATTTGTTATAAAAGATATACCAAAATATAGTATTAGATTTTAACTCTATATTTCAACAAATGTTCTCAATAAAATCCATATATTTGGATATCCATATATTCCTTCAATGAATCTAAACATTTGGTTTTGTTTCTTTCAAAATTATTAAAAGAGATATTTAAGTGTTCCATTTCCAAGTGATTCTGTATCGATCGATAATTTAATTCTAATATTCTGCTATTCAATTATTACAGGGGTATTTAAAATGACGCGCTGTGTACTTACGTGTAAATTTTCACGATAGTCGATGTGATGGTGTGATAATGCTGTCCCTTGATCGCCGACGTCTGCATTCTCCGCCGCACAATGTCCAGTGGGTAGCTGCTTGTCTGACCGACCATTCCAGCGATGCCGCCGCAGATGAGCGAGGTGGAGAATCCCGGAATAGTCACCGTGTACACTGTTCATCGACACGTAGCCATCATCGAACATGAAGCACGCAGCACTTCGAAATACGCCGCCGGTCGGGCTTGTCTCGCGTCGCTATTAAAGTAAGTACCGTCCCAATATCAGGGGAAACAGGGTGCCCCCGACGTGCCCCATCGGTACCCTGCTTTACGATCATATACAACAGCCACTCTCATTCGTATAACCCTCTTTTTCTTCTCTTTTATGTGTTATAGGTGAGTGTGTGCGTGTGTGTGCAAACACCGCCACCGCCGGCGGGCATCAAGAGAAATTACGTTAATATGAATAGGTGCGGCGACTTACCGGCGAATAAATTTCTCAGCATGTCGTACGTGAAGAAGCTGCATCCGGCGTACGGGATCGCGCCGAGGAGCGTGGCGGTGAAGCCGCGATAATACGCCAGTATTCCCTCGTCTTTGTAGATACGCCAGAACACCTGTCGCAGCGTCCTGTACTCGGCCTTCAGGGTCACCGCCATTCTTGCGCGCATCAAGTCCAACGGATACGTCATAGTCTGCGAAGTCACGCCCGCGAGAGCGCCGGCCAGAAAACTAGCCCACGGTTTTTTACTGCAAAGTTATATATTCATATAATTTATTATTTTTTACAGAATGTTCACTTAAGTAGGCTGCTCGGCTTTGCTTGCCAATTACGCTGTTTTCGCCGTACCTTTCCGCGCCGTTTACGCTCAGGATTCTCTTCCACTGTTCGTGCGCTGTGAACTGCACCGCCGAGTACGGAACAATCCTGATCATGGTCGCGCTGTTTCCACGCCATAGGCTGAGAAGACCCTCGGTACGCAACGCTCTTCTCAGGAACTCCACCGCTGCCCTGGCTGAGTATGGCTGCTTCGAGATTTGGAAGTTGATCTTCGTGCGGTCTAACGGCGCTATCGTGGTTTTCGCCAACGCACCTGCTATCGCGCCGGAAACCAGACTTGTCCAGACTCGTTGAGTATTTGAAATCTCCTTTCCGGTGCTTTTTTTCTGCGCATTTGCGATTATAGATATCAGTGTGGAAAATACGTCACAGGTATAATTATCGTATATAATTTCACGCCAGCTGTTGCTTAGCATATGATTAGAATTGAGATTTGCATAATGCATTGTTTTTTTTTTTTCAAGTTATTTAAGTCTATTACAAATCTACTTACAAGCCGTTGCAAGTTACGTTAGCGAGTAAAAATTTCGACATTAATAATAAATTGATATACAGTTATATAACATTGATATATTATAGTATAGATTTGTATCTTTTCTCTCTGAATTAATCATGCGTTAGTGGATATTGCTCGTTGAACACATTCTCTTACCGTCACGTTCACATCTTGCCTCTCCATTGATGTAACGGCTGATGTCGGAGCGTGTTTTCCAGTGATCGGCAGTACAGATACTTGAATGCGCTCGAGAACGGCTTGACCACCTTCGCCGGGACGAGCTGCATGCCCGCTCATCTCTAGCACACTCTGGCTACCTCCGGTTACCGATAGACTCTCATGCAGATCGTCGTGTCGCTTTTAATACCGCTGACGTACGCAATCGGTATAAAATACTACTGCAAACATATCGCTCGCTTTGTGACCTGTATTTGAAAACTAATACACTAGAAAAATAGGAAGTCGGAGATTAGAAAACTTTCTTACAAAAATAATCTTATCAATCTCTTTTTCGCGATTTATTTCGTTATCAACGAGCGTTTCGCCCACACTCAATTGTTCGTTTTATTCATACGTTTTATTTTGCACATTATTCGCGATGGTATCTCTCTAATTTGTACAATTTGTGCCGTGTAAAACAGAAACGTCATTCCTTTGATAAGGAATATAAGAAAGAAAATGACTAAGCTGTTATAGAGATAGGAAGATACATAAAAGTGATCTCGAGTTTCAAAGAATAGAAATTAAAGCTCAATGTTATCATTCGTTCGTGCATAGATAATAATACTGACGTCAATGAGATCAGAGTACAAACGACAAATTAAGGCATGGCATTGCAGCTTGTGCTCAATAAATGCGAGAAACTGGAACATCTATAGTAAAGGAGATAATTCTCGCACGTATATAAAACAGAGAGAGAGAGAGAGAGAACAGTAAAAAGTAATTTTATATTTCGTATTTAAAGATACAGAAAATGCGGTAAAATCCTTTTTAAAGCATAGACAATTTGCAGAAAGAATTTTTTTTCTCCAAAGTTAATTTTTTTATAGTGTTATAACGTGCTGAAGTTTTTTAAATACAAAATTTTGTGTTCTTGCGAATGAATTTAATTTGCATGATAAATAACAATAGTTATTAAAGAGAAGAAAGATAAAGAAAACAGAGAAACGTTACACATTAAATAGAGTTCCACCAAAGATTACAATGGGAAGGGTTTATCTCTCGAGTTTTTTCAAGATTAAAAGTAGAGATGTTATTTCATTTTTTTTTTGGAAAACAAGATTTCAAGCAACAGACAATTGCGGGAGATTTTTCTCACTCTACTTCCTTTTGCAAACATTTCCTCTACCTCTTTGTATATGCTAATTAATGTTTACGCTCAAGATCATCTTTCCATCTTTACCGCTGTAATATGATAATTGTCATGCGTCTAGGAAATATACACATCACCAGATGGTCGATTTTGTGCCTAGTCATGCGACAAACATCGCGTACTAAAGATACCGTGCGTCTATTTTTCAAGGGAAACGTATAAATAAAAAAAATCAACAATTTTTTAAATTTTGGTTTGAAATCAACAAGCTCAAAAAACAAATTTGTTAAGTTTGTACATATATGTATATATTTTTTAACTCTAAAGTAAATTTGAATCCGCTCTAGACGCGATTAGAAACATCAGTTTCATCTCGGATTAAACCGAGATCAAAATCTGTATAATATAAGCACATATTTGTACTTGTTTTCAAAATTTAATCTACAAGTGCGTTTTAAAAATCAATTATGTCAAATTTGTTTTTAATAAGCTAAATAATAAACATACGATAAATTGATTTTAATTTTTGGCAGCAAAATTTACAATGGAAAGTTGTAATCCATGATTCAGTTCGGATACAAATACATTTTCGGCCGAACACCGAGTCTAGAAAGGATTAGTTTGATTTCCAAAGCAATTCAAACTTGCTACAAAACACTATAACATTGCGAAAATGCTATCTTATGTAACGTGTTATCGATATATGAAATTCTATTTAAGAACGGCACTCGAGGCCAACTGAGTGGATTGATTACGACGCTAGAGCACGTGGAGAAACAAATTACGATGTATCAGCGCGTGATTATCATGTGTAATGCTGTCATACTGTTGGATGACGAGCGGATACTTGATCCGTGTTTCTTTCAACTTTTTATTTCGCATTTTACTTTATATATTAATCAAGGCTGCACTTATTTAAAATCAGATATTTATTAATGAATTATATTAATTATAGTTAACGCTTTGTTAAAAATAGATACGATTTAATTAAAGAACGTATGTCGATTTAATATTAAATTTTTATTAACGAATATCTTCTATTTTATTAAAAGAACGCGCAAAGAGCGTGCAAAATTTTAATTGAAAAAGTAAAAGTCAATGTAGTACTAAGATGCGTAGCGTTAATAGTAATCACTTAATTATGCCTCATAATATATTTGTTGATCAACGTTACATTACGTGAGTATAACTATTTGCATTGATTTAAAAAGCGATAAGAAATGATAACTGAAACAGAGTAATCGACATAAATAAATATTAAATTGTAAAAATGCTCGAAGGACATTTGTCCCTGACGTTCAAACGTCCTTCGGACTTCTATGCTTGACTTTGTAAAGTCAATTAATCAAGATGTCGGTATCATAGGTTATCTAAGGAATTACAGCCTATGTGTGATAAAATGTATCCCTCTATTTATATTACAGCTTACTCTATAATTTAACGAAGTGATGACAGGAAATCGTCGAGCAAAGTGCGTCAACGCAGAGCGACGGTGTGCATGTACACATATGCAGTCAACGAATACTCCGAATATACACTTTATGCAATCGAATTCCGGATTCGGAATATCACGAATGTATATTTGTTCGTTAATGTGGCGTGATCGATCCGCCCACGGATCGCAGCCCCGAAAATTTCTTGTATATTTGCAACTTCACGTCGAAATTCCAATTGTCACCTCGTCATGCGACTCATCGTGCTCGATGTAAAAAAATTTTAAACGTTAGCCGTGATTTTCTCGCCTCCGACCAAGTATTATTTGCGACATATAAATAAACCAACCTCTCGTTGTTTGCACTCCGGATAGTAGTCTGTCGGACCAAAGTCCGCCTCATACGTGATCACGTCCGCGACAGTCCGCCAACTGCAGGCTCTCATGATTTCTCACGGTGTTAAATAATATCCGCAGCATGATACAGTAGCACCAACACTCCGATTTTTTTAATTAAAATAAATGTTGCTAACATTAAAAAAATTACACATTGAAATTATTGTGGAGAATTCACTAATTCTAACAACAGAATTATGTGTCTTTTTAGAAACGTTAGCTAATGACATTTATGTTTGTGGAACTAATTTTCCTATCAAGCAGGGCGGATTTTTATGAGTGTGAAAGTACAGGCCGGGACATGAGAGACAGAAGACAAGTACTAATCTGTCTTTTTCTAATGCTGTACTATTCAAGTTGAAAATAAAATTATTACGTACCGCAAGTTGTTCACTTAACCTTTTTAACGCTGTCACTCGTGTCTTCTGATGTGTTGTGATCTTTATCTGGCGCCGTTTCAAACTGCAAAATATTTTTCAATGTTATTCTATTCAATATTAGTGTTAAACTGATTTATTTGAGACGAATAATGATATTTTGTTACGTTTTAGATTTCTGTTGTAATTTTTATTGTTTTTGTTCCAAATAAGAGCTTTAAAATGTTTTGTAAGTAAACTCAATGTAGAATGTATTAATATATTAAAGGAATTTAGTAGTTTCTTAATGGCATATCATTAATGTTTTTCAGAATCAAATTTGAGGACTTAGTCACAATGGTACGAACATGCATTGTACCTGGCTGCAAGTCAAGTGCTGAAATACTGTGCCACCGCTTTCCAAAACTTCCTGCACTATCAGAACTATGGACAAAAGCAATAAAATTACAGGAATTGTATAATATGCCTAGCATGGAAAGGACAAAATATCGCGTGTGCCACAATCACTTTCCAGAAGATGCATATGTATGTTACACACAAAGAAGAATACTTAAGAAAGATGTAGTACCTAGCTTAAATCTTCCAAGTGAACAAATAATAGAGGGGCAAAATGTAAAAATTGAAATTGATGTGCAATCACCGATAACAAATGAAATTGATATGCAGCTGTCAACGGATAATTTGGAATATATCCCAGATATACCATTAGAGCAAGATGAAAAACATATAGAACAGATGCTGAATCAAGCAGAAGGAATGCCTACTCGATATTACGCAGATGACATATCGTTAAATTTACAAGAAACACAAGATGACCATGTGTACTTTGTATATGATGCCAATGATATAGAACAAGTACAAAACATTGAATTTGCAGATGATATATGGATTAGTTCAGAAACTGAATGTGAAACCTTACCAATTTTATTGGAAAACAAAATAGAAGCAGAAGAAAACACGAATTATTATTGTATTAAGAAGGATCAATTAAAATTCCAACTAAAACATATGTACCAATCTGATTTTATAAACCAATATGATCTAATTAATACACAGAAGGTATTGTCCAACATGCCACGCTCAAAAGTATGGCAACAAAATTCACAGGAAGTTTTATTAAAACCTGGAATATGCAAAATTATTAGACAGCATCTGCGTAATAAAGCATATACAATGAATTGGCGAGAGAAATATTGTATATTGATATGGGATAATACAGTTTTGGCGCCACATATCAAATATGACAGTTTAAATGATATTATTATAGGTTTTGAGGATTTAGGAAACAGGAGAAGTAATAAATTTGCGAATTGTGCACTAATATTTATGTTGCATGGTTTAAAAAGTGATTGGAGATTGCCTATTTGGTTTGGCTATTATGAGAATAGAATAAAAACATCCCAATTAGTTAAATGCATTAAAGATATTGTGAAAATGGTAACCAGAGGTGGATTTAGAATTGTAGCCACAGTTTGTAAACAAAGCCCAGCTAATGTAGCAGCAATAAATTTTTTACTTCGAGATACACAAAGACGAAAATGCCTGGTTAATAAGCATAGTATGTATATGTGTATTTCTTTTATAATTGTATCATTGGGTGGCAAATTAGTAAATCTTATAGACAATATAATATATGTATACTTTTTTTATATATACAGGGAACATTATTGAATTGTATGGAACAAAAATTTTGCCATTTTTTGATCCTTCCAGTCTTATTAAAGCTGTAAGGAATAATTTATTGATCAAAGATCTTGAGATAAATATTTCAAAAAATGTTTACCACGAAAAGCAAAGTTCATATGCAACATGGAAATGCTTAGAATTGGTGTATATCATAGATACTCGCAAGAATGCATCAAAACGTGTGTTGCCACAGATAACAGACAAACATATAATTTTTGATAAAATAAACAAAACGGAAGTGAAGTACGCAACACAGATTTTTGCCAAAAATGTTTCCGCATATATGCAGCTGTTGTCAGACATTATAGGTAAACTTGAGCTATATGTAATAACTTATTTAAGATCCATAATTTATATTTTATATTTGTAGGGTACATTGAGACTGAAATAGGATATTTAGAAATACCGATAGAAGGAAGTACAGCAACAGCAAAAGTACTTGACTTTTTTAGTAATCTTTTTGATTCCATAAATGGATACAGTGAAGATTCAGATGTTCCTTTGCTAAGAAGCATAACTTATAATAGTGCTCATCATGAATTCTGGTCATCTGCTGTTACTAAGCTAAGAAATATGAGATATGTGGAGCCATTATCAAAAGAGCCAGTTAAAAAGTCTTTATGTTTGAAAAATTGGATTCAAACAATACGTAATTTTCAAATTCTTTGGAAAATGTTAAGAAAACACGGGTTTGAACAATTAAGAGCACGTCATTTCCACTTAAGACCTTTGGGAAAATTTTTTGAATGCATCAAAGAAAAGAAATACAGAAATCCTACATGCACAGAAATTTGTGCAGCATATAAAAAATTATTAAGAAATAGTTTTTTTTGGTCAAATAGTTTTGACGAAGATAAAATAAAAAAGAATATATCGTTAAAAGTTGCATTTAAACATTGCAGCTTATGTCAACTTACAGTGTCGAAGTATGGTGCGTTTAAAAGAGAAATTTATCGAAAAATGCGAAAAGTTGTAAACCAATACATCAATATCATGCATTACCAATTTAATATTAAAGAGAAAATTAAAACTGTGCTTGAACAAAAATTTGATTTTAATTTCATATATTGTGCAGAACATTACAAAGCCCAAAAAACATTGATAATAGATTTTGTGATAATTACATGTCTAAATAGATGGTGTAAGACAGTAAGCAATATGCTTAATGGGAAGGACACTACAAAAAATGAGATTCCAATTATGAAACAGGCACAACAAATATATAGACAGACACTAAAGAGAAAGAAGAATAAATAATGTGTATATATATCGCAAATGACATATATCATATTGATATGTAATTGAATTTAACAAGACAAAAGAACGAAAAGATTTTTATAAGAGTAAATCAAAATAGACAAATAAAAATAATATAATTTGCGTATAATTTGTATCTTTATTTTTTAATTGCCCAATTCTATTTAATATATATAATTTTAAAACTTTGCTGTTTTGTGTAATTATTATGAAGTATGGATTATTACTGTAAATTCATTGTTATTGGGAAGATTCAAAAAACAATATACAATGTAAAAAGGATAAGTCCAAATATAAATTTAAAGTTAATCTATACAATTATTAAATATTTATAGGGTAAATATTTATAGGGTGCGTTCCACTTAGCGCCCGCAACACCCGTAAACTCGTTCCACCTAACGACCGCGGTCGCTGTGGTCATACTTGAAACGTCATAAATGACGTCATTGATAGCGACGCGTCGGCTCACGACGCACGTGGTTGAAACGTGAGTCGTCGTGATCGCAGCCATGTTCGCGCATGTTTTTAAACTGTTCGTAGTGTTTGACAGTGACAATGTCGTCGCAAAAAATTCTGTTTTACAATACTGAAAGCGACACAGTGATAGAAGTAAATTTATCAGAAGAAAATGCTGTTCGCGCTCAAAATGGTAAGTCAAATACTTTTTACATATCAAGAAATTTTAGTCAATAAGTATTTCCAGGACAAACATAACCTTAAACAATATTCTGTATGTTCTAATTTAATAATTATTACTAAACCGTTACTAAAAATTGGTTAATACTTACTAAATCATTTAGTTCTAGTTACTAAATAATTTTGTGATAAATGCTAAATAATTAAGTAATTATTACTAAACCGTTACAAAAAATTGGTTAATAGTTACTAAATGATTTGATAATAATTACTAAATAATTAGTTAATAGTTACTACATTATTTGGTAATAATTACTAAATATTTAGTAATAGTCAACAAATCATTTTGTAATAGTTACTAAAAATTTGGTAATTACAAAATTATTTGATAATAGTTATTAAATATTTGGTAATAGTTACTAAATATTTGGCAATAGTTGCCAAATTACTTGGCAATAGTTACCAAATTATTTGGTAATATTTACTAAATATTTGGTAATAGTTACCATATCATTTAGTAATAGTTACTAAATATTTGGTAATAGTTACTAAATATTTGGTAATAACTACTAAATATTTGGTAATAGTTACTAAATATTTGGTAATTGTTACTAAATATTTGGTAATTGTTACTAAATTTTTGGTAATAGTTACCAAATCATTTGGTAATAGTTACTATTTGGTTTATCTGTTTCATTTTTATTCATTGCAGGTGGATCAGGTATATTAAAAAGTGTTGGTATGGCGTTTGGTTTTAATTTTCGCCAATTATCTGCTCGACCAGTCTCAAACTGTGATTCTTCAAAATGTTTCTGAAATAAAAAAAACTGCTTATAAGATAAATGTCCTTATTGATTACAGTTATTCATATTTATGTAATTTTAAACGGTGACAAATCTAAACTACACTTAAAAAAACGATCCATGATTCTAAACAAACAGAAAAAGTTACATAAATTGAAAATTTAAGAGAATAAACTTACTTCACAGAGACGCGAATATTTGGTTGATATCCAGAACTCTCTGCAGAGATTACGTATCCATTGCTGTCGACGAACATCATCCGCAGGAAACAAAAATAATCGAGCGCCTTTTTCTGTTCTATTGGTACAATTGACCGCAACGCAGCAAGGCATTTTGCATATTTTTTTTGTTCACAGTCGGATAATCAAAATACACGTAAACACAGAGTTTGAGCAGCTTAGAAGCCATAACCTAATCATCATAAACTTTTCAGCTCAGTGACAGAGGCGAGAGAGCAAGGAGTGGGGGAATGGAACAAAAATGGCTGAGACGTGAGCAGACCTGAGAATACCTACATCTTTAGTGCTCTATAAATACAAGGGTATGCTTTTGCGCACGCGACCAATCAAAATTGTCAAAGTGTGACGTCACAGATAAGCGGTAAATTTAAAACTACTGTTTCTAAGCAGCTTATATTAGCAGTATTCTCGTCAAATGTATTATTTTGATTTCAAGTTTGAAGAGAAAAATTTATTTTGAAGTAATATTTTATAAACTAATAAATATCCTGTAATAAAGTATAATATAAATAAACATTATAAACTCAATATAGAAAAATTTAATATAAAATAAACATAAAAATATTAATCTTTTTTGTTAAGGTATTAGCATTTTTTTCTTAGATATTAACATTTTTATCGGTTACGTTTTCACTGAAAAGATTTCACTCAATCATGCGTTTCCAAACATAAACATCAAGCACTGAGGGTCACCATGTTTAGTCGAACCGTTCGGATGGTCTGATTGGCCCTAAGTGTGACGTCACACTTTGCTGCGCAGTGAGTGAATACGAGATGAGCATACCCTTGTATTTATACTTTATACCATGGTGCTTGCTTATAGCGTTTTCAAGTGAACGGATTTGTCTTGTGGCGGATTTACTATGCATTCTCTCTACGACTTTCTAGGTCCAATGAGAATCTTTTAGGGACAAAAATATTGTTGGCTATAATTCCCATAGTTTATTGATAGTGTTCAATCTTATAATTAGTATATTTTATGATTTACGCTTGTCTATGTATAAAGTATAGAATCAATCGCCGGGAATAAAATTTTAATGTGTAGCGAAAATTGATAAACGAATCGAAAACTATATGTGTGTGTGCTTGCGCTGAATTATATGTTATTCAGAAAGTTCTGAGAATTAAGGTATGTTTAAATATAATGTTTTATTGTAATCGAGGTTTGCATCAATTAACCTGTTATTTCAACTACATAGTGAAATACACAGTAAAATAAAACACTCAAATTTAATATACCTGTTATACAAATTATAAATTTTTGTTAAGGTTATTTCAAGTCTAGTTTTGATATCAGCCATTCAGTATGGATACAAAAACTCTTCCGAGTCTCTTGAGTTTAAAAGTAGCTCCTCCATCAGAGTTACAAAATCAAAACATTGACAATGGAGTTGGAGAAGGAGAGGGTGGCTCTGTCAAGCTTCCGGCTGCCTTAGAACAAGCTCTAGCATTTAAAACTGAGCGGGCTAAAGAAGTAGGCGGGGATCCCAATGATGTTGTTTCTGTGGATAAATCACCGAAGGATGATGGCGAGGATGTTCCTCAGATAGAAGACGTCATAACGGAAATAGAATCGACTACGGAAAAGGTAGAAGTCAAATCAAGTAAAACAAAGAAGAAGAAGAAGTCGAAGAAAAAGAGACACAATATAGAGAAGAAGGATGCAGAACAGAAGAAGGACAGTGCCGAACATGGCAAGAATAAAGAGGATATGCCAGAGATAGAATATATACAGGAGATACCGAGCATAAACGATTTAGAACCGATGTACCGTCAATTTGCCAGAGTCTTTGAAGCGTTCAAACTTATAGAACCGGAACCAAGTCCAAATGATGCGGCTGATAAAGGTGAACCCATCGGGCAGTATCCACCAGTAACGAGTATACAAACTGCTGGCACTGGTGTGCCGAGCAAGGTACCGCTGTTGGATGATTTTGATGATGATGCAAATCAGCAGCAGCAGCAACAGGGTACTGGCGAGAATGGTGCTCCGCGTCTGTCCAAGCGGAAACTGAAGAGGCTCACGCGGCTAAGCGTGGCGGAACTGAAACAACTAGTGGGTCGTCCCGATGTCGTGGAGATGCATGACGTCACTGCGCGAGATCCGAAGCTGCTGGTGCAATTGAAGGCGCATCGAAACACGGTCCCTGTGCCGAGACATTGGTGCTTCAAGCGAAAGTATCTGCAGGGCAAACGAGGCATAGAGAAGCCGCCCTTTGATCTACCGGACTTCATTAAACGCACCGGTATCACGGAGATGAGAGCGAGCTTGCAAGAGCGGGACGACACGCGCACATTGAAGGCAAAGATGCGAGAGCGGGCGAGGCCCAAGCTGGGTAAAATCGATATCGATTATCAGAAGCTGCACGATGCGTTCTTCAAGTGGCAGACGAAGCCCCGCATGACGATTCACGGCGATCTGTATTACGAGGGCAAGGAGTTCGAGACGCGGTTGAAGGAGAAAAAGCCCGGTGAACTGTCGGACGAGTTGCGCACAGCTCTAGGAATGCCGGTGGGTCCGAATTGCCAGAAGGTACCACCGCCGTGGCTCATAGCTATGCAACGTTACGGCCCGCCGCCGAGTTATCCAAATCTCAAGATACCCGGTTTGAACGCGCCCATACCAGAAGGCTGCGCGTTTGGTTATCATGCCGGCGGATGGGGAAAACCACCTGTGGACGAGACAGGCAGACCGCTGTACGGGGATGTATTCGGTATATCACGCACGTCCGGCGCGGACGCAATGGACGAAGAGATAGACCGGGGCATGTGGGGCGAGCCCGAATCAGAGTCGTCAGGCGACGAAGACGAAGACGAGGACGCCGAGGAGGGCGGCGAGGGCGGTGAGGGCGAAGGAAAGGATGGCGACGGAGACGCCAGCGGACTCGTCACACCCGGCGCTGAGGGCCTGATCACACCGAGCGGCATCACGTCGATCCCGGCCGGCCTGGAGACTCCGGAGACCATCGAGCTGAGGAAGAAGAAGATCGAAAGCGAGATGGAGGGTGGTGACACACCCGCACTGTACACGGTGCTGCAGGAACGCCGCACCGAGGGTCTGGGCGCCAGCATGATGGGCAGTACGCATGTTTATGACATGACTGGTGCGGCCGGCGGCCAAGCACCGCCGTCTGTGATCGCCGCGCGCCGCGGTGGTATCAGCGGCAGCGCGAGTGACGCCCGAGCAGAGAAGGACGGTGCGGTGGAATTGACACTGGACCCCAGTGAGCTGGATCTCGACTCCGAGGCGATGGCATCTAGATACGAAGAGACGATGAGGTCGAGGCAAGCGCATCTTAGGAGGGAAGATTTATCGGACATGTTGCAAGATCACGTACAACGGCAAAAGGTATGCATTAAATGGCAAATAATAGTATTCTTTAATTCACGACTGCACCGTCAGATTATCCTGCAACTATATAAAATAGATTTGGCACTTAAAGAAAAAAATTAATTGTTCTTTGAACATGTCGATTTTGAACTAATCCCCTTTCGTTTCTATTTCAGAGCAAACGTAAACGTCAGCAAATTCAGGATACAAAGACATCTAAGAAGTATAAAGAATTTAAATTCTGAACACTCTGTCATCTCTTCGTTTGTGTATTGTACCATAGGAATTAAATTGTTTGAGATAAGTAAGTATCTGAGCTAGACTTAACATAATGCATTATACTTTAATGGTATTGCAATACAGTTATAGTGTTTAATAGCACAACTCCTTTTTTATATGTTATATTTAAAAATACTATATGAATGATAAGTCAGATAGTGTCATATATATATTGACGATAGTGATATATCAATGATAAAGCTATGAATAATTGAATATTTTCCAACATAAGAATAATAAATGCAATTATCTATTTTTTGGAAGAGAAACACAAGTAGATGAAATAAGTAGACTTTGAATATACATATATATATACACACACACATAGAAATGCATTTGTTTACTTATATATACATCTCAACATACTAGTAGTGACAAATATATGAATAGGTATTTCGAATAGTTCATTTATTTAACGCTCTGTAAAACCTAAAATTGCTTCAGACTAAATTTCATTGTAACCCGTTAATTCAGTCTCAAAGTAATTATCTATAAATAAGTTATGTACATCCTAAATAATGTACAATTTAAATAATCACTCTCTGCTTTGGTCCACTGAAAAGCTAATAAAAAATTGACTTACTTTTCATACATATTAAAATCTATACGATATGCGACTTTTGAGGCAGTAGGTTGATCCAAAATCGTTCTAAGTACAGGCTCATCAACGGTCGTGAGAGGCATCGTAACAGTACAAAGAGACACGGAAGAGAGATAGCGATAATAAATTTACTGATAGCGCTACCGATGTCGAGCCAGCTCCCGTACGGCGTGACGCAATACATTAAAGGCAGCGACAAGCAGTCACCTAAAAAGAGAATAGCTAAAGAAATAGGTTTCTTATATTCTTCTGACTCCAGAGCGTAGCTCGCGCATCCGACTAATATTAAAGGAATACTAAGTTTAAAGAGTATCAAAGACGTCATTAAAAACGGGGAGAAGACGGTGACGAAGTGACGTGTCCACGATGGATCAAACGAGCTGATGCTTGCCATATTACCTGTGCCGAAAAAGCACAATAGTATATACAACATCTGTAATCAAATATTAAAGAAAATATCGAATATCACTGAACCTTAATGGAACCTCTTCAATAAACTTTTCAAAAAGGATACAAAAAACGCCGCTTTGAACAAGTCTTTCGTGATCTTTTGTGTATCTCCTGAGCTCTTTGAAGTAATTGGAGCGACTCGCAACCAACAAAATAAATTGACCGTAAGTGTCAGGAAGAAGAGCGGCTCGTAAGATGCAGATAATAGCGTGAGCGGGCAGAAGAATCCCAACATTACGCCCAGCGTTCTTCTTTGAGTCTCTGCTGGATAACACCAAATGCACAAGGGTGTAGTCAGCAAGATGATCCAGGATATCCAGTGTTTACCATCGATAAACTCCGTATACACAAGGCTTGTAACGATTAAGCGTAGAATCTCCATTATTCTTCGACTCAACGATGTTTCATTGACAATCATTACTGACATTGCAATACATACGCCGATTATTCTGAAATTAATCGCAAAAAAACATCAAAAATTTATTTCTCAAATTAAAATTTTTTTAAAAACATTTTCTTCACATTTTTAAATTAATTTCATAATGTTATCTCGACTCACACAATGTAGACGCGTGGATATGGCTCTACGACTGGCAGTAGTGGGAATACACACAGCGCTATGGACGTCCAAATCATAAGAGTCGGTACACTTTTCGACTTCGCTTTTCGTATCAATATGGTAGATAATATTCCTATGCTGAGAGCAAACCTATATGTCAGTCCAACAAACAGTATCACTAATAAAAACAGGGTGCCCCCGATATCTATAAAAAGCTTCTTGCTGTTCCTTTTTACGTAACACCGGCGTCCACACAATTATGGCAGCGACTGCAAGCCACACGGATATTATGGCGAAGGACGCGTAGCACGGTAATCTCCAGTTGCTGCAATCGGACACTGCAATAATTACACAAAAATTAATGCATAATAAAAGTGATCGTTTTTAGGTTTTGAAATTGGTGCAAAAAAGATGATTATACGTTTGAAAGAGTTTCAATTCCTTTCAAGGACAATCAGTAACTTAAAGTAAAATGTAATGTTAAAATAATCATACATTTTTTGCACCAATCTGATTTAGACATTTTTTCTGAAATAATTTTTCACCTAAATGTCCAACTAACGTTATTATGAGTAAACTTGCGAATCCAAAGTTTATGAATCGCAATAGAGGAATTTGCAAATTTCGACGCTTTATGCCGGCTATTTTCAGGAATAACACAACTATCCAGCCGAGCCACATTATCGACAAATATATCAAAAATCGTGTTCGCTGATATTGCCTGAAATATAACAGAGCTTCCTTGCTAAAACTAATCGCTTCGTCGCCTTCTCGAATTCCTTCCATTACATTTCCTTTATTGAAATGTTGTTCAATTTGACTAATTTTGGCATTTAGCTGTATCTCTCGCCAATCAATATTGCCACTATCTTTGCAACTTATTGCACGATTTCCTGTCACTTGATGCATAAGTTGCTTTATATTGCTGAGTAAAGAATGTCCGACATATTCCTGATAATCCGTATCGAAATATTGCCACGGTAGAGCACCCTAAACGAACATTTTACATATAAATATATATATATATATATATTTCATACAATATACTAAATTCTATGTAAACATTAAATATAAAAACTAATGTTGATCTTACCTCGTTATTTATAGGAACAGGAATTCCTATTAGAGATGCCATCAAAGGAGCGATACTCGCTTGCTCGACATCTCGACGAAAGCCGGAAGATTTTATTCCCGCTCCCCAAACAATTAACGGTGTTTCCGTTTCGGATGGCAAGCCACTGCCATGAGATCCCCAGTCGGTCATTCCATGATCGGCTGTGAACACGTAAGCAGTGGTGCCCTTCCCAAAAAAATGCTCTGTCAGATTCACAGTCTCTTTGATTTTCTCATCAACGTAGTTCATATTTTCAACGTACTCCCTAGATGCAAGATTTCCTTTTTATTAATAAATCCATACTTATATTCTCTGAAAGCACAAAACTGTAAGAATGTGCAACAAGTCTTAAATACCTGGAATATGGTTTTTTAGCATGTCCCAGAGTGTCGCAGCCAAGCAGATGAAAAAACAAAATGATTTTATCCTGATTTCTCACTGCTTCAGCTGTTGAAGACTGCAGCCATTCTAAGTAAGCGTTAAACACCCAGGAATCCAGACGAGTTGTCTGATTATTCAAGTTTGCATCAAAATCTTGCCATGAGGAAGGATAACTCTTTCCATGAACATTTTGTTTGCTACCTAAAATTTCAATATTAGCATGAGAAATGATTGACAATTTTATTACTTCTTTGTGGTATACCTTTTGTAAACATTGGAATTATATCCGGACTGCCCCAAGCCCAAGTAGTATGGCTTTGATTGAAGACAGAATCAAAGTCCACTGGATTTTCCTGCCATCCTTTGAAAATGGCACTAGGATCCTCGTATAATCCTGCAGTGATTGCGACGTGTCCTGGTCTTGATTCTGTGGGCACCCTTGTATGAGATATTCCCCATACACCCTTATTTTCCATTACATCCCTGCAAAATAGACTTGATAAAGTAAGGAAATAAAATAAAAATTAATTAAAATTAATATAACAAAGATGAAATTTCTCTCATTAGATATTAAGAATATTTTTAAGCATACCTGAGATAAGGTGGTGACTTATTTATGAATGTATGAAACCTCAGACCATCTGCCACGAAGAGTAGCAGCCTTTTAGCCGGTGCTCCGCGTGGCGCCGGTACAACTGGCAGTTCTTTAATAATAGGCGAATGAAAATTAACATCGAGCACACCCCACAGTAAAATCAAGTGCATAATAAACCCCCATAAACTAAACAAATAATTGTTGCTTGTATCGAGCCATCGCTTCTTGTATTTTTTCGGATAAAATAATTCGCGATCTGTAGTATCGAGAAATTTTCTCATAAACATTTTTGGCAGTTTCTTATATTTTCAGAATTGACACATGATTGACAGACCGCAGCACAGCACTTCATCGAGCACTCGATATGATATCGAGATATCGAAACCTATTATTTTTGCTCGATTTTTGACATCGATAATAATATTTGCTTGCTTATCTAATATCGATAATTTTATTTAAATGTTAATTGCTTATGTAATAAATTATATAAAAATGTACAAAAAAGACAAATAATGCAATTTAGAAAGTTACAAATGTCTATCATATAATATTTATGCATATAATATGAATGAGGTTATATAAATAATCGATGGATATAAATTTGTGTAAATTTTATTCACGCATATCTACATTTGTCTTAAAATTATTTTGATATACAAGCATTTTTATATAACACATATATCTAAATCTCCATGTAGGACTAGTGCAAATCAAGAGAGAAAGAGAAAGAATAAATTACATATATATGATATACAATATGGATTTTATATACATTTTGGTATTATATAATCTTTTTAATGCTAGCACCAATTTACCGGTCAATATTTCTAATATTTTCAAATCACATATCTCAAAAAAGAAGTATAAAACATTAACTAAGTTTTTCCGCTTTTAGTTCATTGTTATAATACACTATAGCACGCTCTATCAGAGATCTATTCTCACTTTCATCATTTGCTTCCGTTGGGTTTTTACTATTTTTGTTAGAACTTTCCTTCGTATTGTCTTCTAAATTATTACTGTTATTTGTTTGCTGTAATACCGGTTCTGGTGTCTGTATTTTATGTCTTGTGTGCTTGGCTAATTCTTTCATAGCATCTTGCAGATAATGTATTCGAGCTTCTTGTTGCAATGTAGTATTGTGCAATGCTTGAATGTCCTCCGAAAATTTCAATAATTGCATCTGTCTAACCTCCTCTTTTTTTGTTTCTTTTGTTACTTGTCTGTTGTATTCAAACATCAAACATCCTCCTGCTATGCTGAAAATAATAGCCTCGCCTATCAAATTAGCGCCCAGTTCAATTGCCATAGCTTCATTTAGTTTCGCTACTTTTGTGGGCTTACCAAGATTCATAACATACATCTTTGTTTTTACTTCTGCCCAATGGTAAACTATAAATGTATAAAATAAAGACAATGACTACTTTGCAATAATATTTAAAAACTTAAACACTTACATTGAGCAGGTGGTATAATAAAGTAAGTTCTGAAAACTGGATGGTTTTTGGCTTGACTGACAAGAAACTTGGCTAACGGTTTACTGATCTGTTTCACAAATAGTACGCCCAATTTAAAGGCTGGAAATACACCAACTGCCATTTTTGCCAATTACTAAGTCAGCTTTTCATCTATTTTTTCGATATCCTGAAAGTGTTAATCATGTGTTAAAATATACTGTCATTATATTATTATTAGTTTTACTCATTACTTTGTTACTACTAGTGTCAATATCTAATAACAACAATGCTGCCATGATTGACTGTTAGTTTAATAACATTCGATTTCTGTTATGTCGTAATCGGCAATCATTACCTCACCTTTGAAATTATTTTTTCGGAATGATATCGCGGTGGTAATATGTCATGACAGAAATCTCTATGATCTTGCGAGCAATCGTTGTGAAGCATATTTTGTTGTTAATAAATATCCACTGAATCACATCATTTAAATCACATCGTTAACGTATTCGTGGATTTTTGTAAACGATAAATTCCTTCGAAGATGGAGTAAATGAACACCAACCTTTCAAGTTGATCACCAACTAATCCGGCATACTGAAATAAGTACAATGTGCGAAACATTGGGGCAAATCCACGCAGCCAACGCGAACAATATAATTCTCTTTCATTCATATAAATTTCTAGAACGTGCTATTGGATTGGCTGTCAGATAGAGAATTTCGAAATCCGCAAAATTTTACGGTACAGTAGAAAATCAGAAAATTATTAATTATATGCAAATTCTAAAAATAAAGTGCTAATTTTTCATAGATAATTTATTTTCTTTTACATCGTACAACTTTATAGTTATAAATTTTTATGATTGCGTTACCAACGTGTAACTAACATATCTTTCTTCAGTTACTTTTATATGGTTGGTCAACTGTTTATTCCCGCATAATTTGAAACAGAAAGGCATAAGAAATGGCAAATTTTTCTCATAAAAAAATTTGTGTTGCTTTTCATTTCTTATTTCCATATCTGTAACCATATCATATTTAATGAAAAAATTGTTTATAGTTTTCATAAATATTATGGTTAATATATTAATGTTGAATAAAGAATTCAGCAGGAAGTAGAGAAGAAAACAAGTTATATGTTCAGTAACAGTAAGGAAGAGGAGCCTGTGCGACTTCAATTTTACAATAAATTTTATACTATAATCAAAATAGCAGCTTATACTTCTCAAGGATGTATTGTTTACAAAGCTAATTTGATTTAACATATATATAAATGTAATTATTGTATATATGTACACAACAATTACATTTCTATACATATTTCTATATACAGAAATATAATTAATGCGGTATCAATGCTATTAATAGCTAGTCATTAAAAAGAGATTAATATCGGAAAATTGTTACTGTAACGTTATATAATATTATCTCAATTACTCAATAAAATAATTCTCAAATCTTCATAAACAAATCATTACATTGGAATGTATATATAGTATAAAACGTTTTGAGATTATTGCTTGTAAAACGCATAACTATCATATAATAAAAATCAACTATATAAAATAAAATGTATAAGTCGTGACAAGTTTATAGAGCACAACAATTAGAGATGTACTATACTACTATATATAAATACACCAAAAAATTGGGCGTTAAGCAGCATTATTCAACCATAATCCACACTCAGAGCACTCAGACCTTTCTTCTTAATTGCCTCTCCTACGGCGCGTTCTAGGAAATCTTCTGGCTTATCACACTCATATACTTTATCCGCATCCAACGTATCCAACGCATTGCATCTTCCCGTTTCAACATTGCTGTAGACAGCTCCATAAGGAAAGTCCTCAAGTTCATACATACATTTTGACGAAAACGAACAATCCACACCTATACATTTACAATAATGTGGCTGGAGAGCGAGCTCGGCTGATTGGACTAACCCATGATTGCGTATTGCCATTGTCACCGCTGTGTCTTCCATATCATTACTTCTGTACGATAAAGGGTATCTGGAACCGACAGAATCTTCCTCTAATGGTGGATGCATCGTCCTGTAGTAAGCCAAAACTTCATTAATGCTATTGTCCATAGACCCTTCTTCTTCCTGGAAAGCCTGCCATAATTTGAGTTTTTCCTCAACTTGTATTTGGTATATAATTTCATCATATTCAATATTTTCTACATTGCTGGCTGTTTTCTCCATATTTGCACTTGTGTGTTGCTCCTGAAAAAATAATTATTCTTTACATATATATAATCACAATTATTTCATAATGCACAATTATAATAAAACATAATACTCATTTATCATGTATAAATTTATTACATAATGAAAAAAGTATTGATAATAATACTAAATTTAAAAATACACAGAACCAATGTCTTAATATATAAAATTGCATTTATTTTGACAATTTGAGAAGATGTGTAGGATATGTTCTTCTTCATTATGCTGCTAAAAAATCCCAAGCTATATTTTGATAAATTTATTTATCGTACAAGATATTGTTAATATTTTAATCAAACTATTTTAAGTTATAATATCAAGATATATAATATGCGTACCACAAATTGTCAAAATACGATACAATTTTATGTTTATATTATTGATTTCAAGTATACAATTTGTCAACAAATAGAAGCCATATTTATTTATACAATTAAATAAATAAAAATGTAATATTGTAAAAATAACATTGTGCAAACAATAAGAAAAAAAACAGATACTATTGTATTCTCTACAAATAAATACCGTATCTGAACGAGTTTCGTCGACAATTGTGCTAGACAAATTGCCAGACAATTGCGTGCAATGTCGCTTAGCCGGAAAGAAAGCACACTCGTGCTCATCCATGTCCGAGTCCTCGTCGTCGCTCGCAACTACTTCTACCGCATTTCGCCAAAGTTTTTTCCTGGTGCGTTCTTTACTGGCGCTTGGAAAAGGCGGAAAGAGAAGAATTTCATGTTTGTCCATGTTCGTGCATAACTCTCCGACATTCGACTCCGCGATGTCGGTCTCTTTGTCGTTCTCTTGAATTTCCGCCAGCGCGTTTTGTTCGAGCGCGTACGCGCTTCGTTCACGATTTTTCCAGCTGCGATTTCACCACATCGAGACCGTTGTCCGAGCCAGTGGCATTTTCGGCAGCATAAAAATTCAACGCGACCACAGCCTTTCGTCGCTCATTCGACCCGTTATTGACGTTTATTTACAAGAAAAGACAGCGCGTAAAGCGTGTAAAATCGCACGTAGCGAACGATGACACGACTTTCACGGTCAATTTAAAAATTAAAAAAGTCGTGTTCGACAAATGGAATAACAATCACGAATATCCGCGTCGAACGCAATCGGAATCCGGGAGACGTGACTCCGAAACCGAGCATCATCAGCAAGAATCGCTTTTGACAGCTACAAGATGGCAGTCACTACCGTAATCATTTGTTGCGTTGAAAAACCAATCGATAGGATTGTTGCAAGATACAATGAAGACTTGAAATAATGTAAAAAATTACATCTACGCGAAATGAACGTTAATAAACATTAAAAATTTTTTTTGGATTTAACAAGGTGCGCTCCGGTGCATAGTTGATTCACCGATTGTTCCAAAATGGCGTGAACATGTGTTCACGTAGCACGGTAGATACTTGACGGCTGATCTGTCAGCGAGACCCGCGCTGGCTCTCCTGATTAGTATTACCATTTTTTTTCACGCTCACCCTTTAAATAGCCACCGTAGTATTATGGCCACTTGCGGCGAGTATATCCGCAGCCAATTTCCGACGATCGACGATGATCTGTATCAATATGTAAAAGGTATGTTCCGTGCAATAACCTGTAAAAGATTTTTACCTGATTCCCCGCGTGACAACGCGAAGCTCTATATTGACGCGTATATTTTCATGTGCAAAGATATCCTAGACAGTTCCAAGGACGACTTCGAGGATAGCGACGAGGTGTACGAGGCTATCGGACAGGTACTCCACGAGGTAGCAGACAAATCTGAAAACGAGGTTAGGTCTGTAAATATGTTCTCACTTGCCATCTTTTAATTAATAAAACATTTACATATTTTTACGAAAGATTGTATATTTTGATAGAACTTATCATATTTTCTGCTGCAAGATTGCAAAAATTATCAATCTTTTTGATGGCACACCTTGATGCTACAACTTGATCATTTTTTTAATACTTTTACAGGCAAATATGCGTGAAACTGCTAGAAATGCTGAAAGGTAATACAAATGATGAGGACATAGACAGGAGAAAAAACGGTGTTAATAAAGTATTAAATGCTCCGGTGCATCTGGGTGCACTAGCTGCTACTTTAGAAGAACAAGTTGAGCAAATCAAGAGTATATGGGTCACAACTAGGGACGATGGAATGGTAATACACATACAATGTATTTATTTTGAACGATAGATGTAATTGCACAGTGATTGTGCAGTATTACTTATGTAAATCTTGATCATTATCAAGTCTTTATCATTCAAATTAATTTTTACAAATAAATCAACGTAGTTTGCTAATTATAATCATGTATTGTTTCCATTATTTGGAAAACTATGCATGTAGGATTATTGTAAAGCGTTATGTTGAATCCATCTCAATATTAATTTATCGATATGATCAATAATATATATAGATAATTTATCAATATGAATGATATTACTAGTTTTTACATTTGATTTATAGACATTGTTTATATATTAATATTTTTTATTATTCCAATAGAAAGTAGATGCTAAAAAATTAGAGAAGGCAGAGGCTAAACTGCAACAGAAACAAGAGAAACGAATTGTAAATGAGCAGGGATCAGCCTCTCGCGTCAGCACTGCCAATAATGCGGCTGAAAGCGCGGCTAGCGCCAGCCAAATGATGAGTAAAAAAGATAGTCGGATGGAGACTAAAGGTGGAGTGAATAAAACCCAGGATATCAGAATAGAGAATTTTGATGTCGCGTATGGCGACAGAGTGTTGTTGCACGGCGCAGACTTGACGCTTACCTTCGGCAGGCGATACGGTCTGATAGGCAGGAACGGACTCGGCAAGACCACCTTACTTAGGATGATATCAAGGTATGATGAAATTCACTGCTCGCTTGTTCAAATAATATTTTCAATTGACATAATTGGTCTCGATTGGTTTAGCAAACAATTAAGAATACCATTGCACGTGCGAGTGTTGCACGTCGAGCAGGAGGTAGCTGGCAATGAGACATCCGCGCTTGAGTCCGTATTGGAATGCGATTATGAACGAAGCGCTTTGCTTAGTCAAGAGGCAAATCTGCAAGCAGCTATAGAGAAGGACGGATCTAAAGACACGTTAGGCGAAGAATTGGCCCGAGTGTACGAAGCGATGCAGTTAGCCGAGGTCGACAAGGCGCCGGCTAGAGCTAGCGCAATCTTATCGGGTCTTGGATTTTCCGTGGAAAGACAATCTTGGCCAACCAAAGCGTTCTCCGGTGGTTGGCGAATGAGGCTTGCTCTCGCGAGGGCTCTATTTTCTAAGCCAGACTTATTGCTACTCGATGAGCCGACAAACATGCTTGATATTAAGGCGATACTCTGGTTGGAAAGATACCTGCAAACGTGGCCAAAAACATTGCTTGTAGTATCACACGACCGCAAGTTTTTAGATACAGTAAGTCTACCCATATTCGCAATAATAATTATTTGATTAATGATCCACTCACGAATATAATTATCTAAAAAATAATCTCAATAAAATTTTAACGATATTCATATTTTTCCTCTAAACTATATTTATATAATAAAAATTTATTAAAGAATAATTAAACATTTTTATTATACAAATATACTTATTATTATTTCTTTCTTCAACAGGTACCCACTGATATTTTGTATTTACGTGCGCAAAAGATAGAACCGTATCGCGGTAATTACGAGCAATTCGTGAAAACGAAAGGCGAGCGCGAGAGAAATCAACAACGTGAATACGAAGCGCAACAGGCGAAAAGAGCACATGTACAGGAATTCATTGACAAATTCCGGTACAATGCGAATCGAGCATCTAGTGTACAAAGCAAGATAAAAATGCTAGAAAAATTGTGAGTCCAATAACATTCTTTACAGCATCAATAGAAATTCTCGATTGGAATTGACATAAATTTACGTTACTCGACAGACCCGAATTGAAGCCGATAGAAAAGGAGAGCGAGGTAACTCTCAATTTTCCCGAAGTTGAGCCACTGAGTCCGCCGATATTGCAGCTTAACGAAGTCTCCTACAGCTACAATGGGACCGATGTGGTATTTAGTAACGTGAATCTTACTGCCAGTCTGCAATCGCGTATCTGTATCGTCGGAGAGAATGGAGCAGGCAAGACCACTCTCCTTAAGATCGTCACAGGCGCACTGAGTCCGACACGCGGCACGGTGCATGTGCATCGTAATCTCAAGTTCGGATATTTCAGTCAGCATCACGTCGATCAGCTAGATATGCGAGTCTGTCCAGTCGAATTGTTACAAACACACTTCCCCGGTACATGCTTACAATTTGCAAACATGTATCCCATTAAAAATTGTTAGAGAAGAGAATGATTTACGATACGTTTGTATCATTACAGGTAAACCGATCGAAGAGTACAGGCGAATGCTTGGAAGTTTCGGAATAAGCGGCAATCTAGCCTTGCAAACTATTAATTCTCTCTCAGGAGGACAAAAGTCCAGGGTGGCGTTTGCCTTAATGTGCGCCGCGATGCCTAACTTTTTCGTGCTCGACGAACCCACGAATCATCTCGATATTGAATCGATCGAAGCGTTGGGTAAAGCTCTTAACAACTGCCAAGTAAGTATTGGATTTTTCTTTCTTGTTTATGTGTAGCTCTAATTTCCAAATTTTTATATTCATCTGTGTATTAATATTTTTATCATTACAGGCAGGTGTAATATTGGTATCGCATGATGAACGTTTAATCCGGATGGTTTGTACAGAATTATGGTTTGCGGAGAAGGATCTGTTCGATGCATTGAAGAAGGTTTCGATGAATATCGAAGGATTATCGAGAGAGAGCTTGAATTATAAGAAGTTAAATTTTCTTATGTGATATCATCATTTTACGTTGTCTTTTACCGAATAATGCATTATATTGTGACAGTTTTAGAAAAATATCGATTACTTTAATTAAAATAATTTCGGCTAAAGTATCTACTTTATTATATTTAATTTTTTTCGAAACATTTTATCGTTAAAGGTATCTTATTTATTTTTTAGAGATACTTTCCGTGAAACAAATCAAATATAGCAATTATTAATTACGTATGTACGTTTTATTTATCTACTTAACAAGTCTCTTTCTTCCCTTTCTGGTTACAGAATGCAACTTTTGTCCTAAAACAATTCATTATTATAAACTATTTGTTTCTTTAACATATTAAATTAACACGTTACTCAATTGTGACATTTACAATTGAACTTAGAAATTTTCACATTTATTATTATTCTATTATGAAGAAAAATAATAAAAGATATTGTTAGATAAAGAATGTTCTTCCTTTTCTATTTCATTTAGAAACAAATGTTAATCGATATTACCATCTTTTATGTAAAGATTGTATTTTTATTATACATAACGCATTAATACACATTATTCTTAAATCAACGAATTGTTGCTGCATTTGTTTATTAGTATTGAAAAATAAGTTACAACTTTATATTTTGGCCTTTAATATCTAAGCAAATAACTATCAATAGCTGATCATCATACATTGATACATTATCGTGAATTAACGATTTTCATGTGATATTTTTTTCCGTTAATTTTACAGATATATAAGAAAAATATAACACAATGATTAGGAAGATTAACTGAGTATGCTGTTTTAGAATGAGAGTAAATGTTGCCTTTCGCTTTAATATACTTTACATTTCTGTTAGGTATTAACAGGCCTAAAATTTCTAACGATTTCTTCTCTTAATAAGTAAAATCTCTATATTAAATAGATTTCCCTAAGATAAAACTGTACAGAAAATATTGTCTAAAACATTTTATTGTATAACTGCGCTCGCATGAATTCGGGACCACTCTCACTCTCTTTCTCTCGCTCTCGAACGCTTTATATATATACTCTACCGATTCATTCTTTCCATGCTCACTTAGTTTAACAATTTATTGTGGCAGCATTGAGACGTTTGTTAAACAATAATCAATGCACGAAGCAATGATTTAAGTATACATTCAGTATGCCAAAGAAGTCGCGCTGTGTTGCCACTGTTTACTCCCAGATGAAGTATTTAACGAATGCAGTGAGTTAGGGGTAGAAGACGCTTGAAGAGGTGGAGCCGGAGCTTGTTGCTTTGCTGCTGTAATTTTGGAAACGTCATGATTATTTTACCAATAACTGAGCAGTATATTTTGTACATTTCAGGATAAATACTTGTGAAAGTGTAATTAACGTTAAGTGCAATGGCTTGATTGGTTATAGACAATCAGTATAAGTTCGTGTTATATACGATTGTGTCATACGTGTCTTGATGTTTTGTGTTTTTTCCGAAACACAAAGTAGAGAAGCAGCGTCAGCAGAAGTTAGCACTTTAAAAGAAACCTTGAAAAATAATGTCATAAAAAGAGGATGCCTCGTGTAATGCCTCGTGCAAATTGTGTAATATGCATATGAATATATATACATTGCTAAAAGATCATGTTAGCAAATTATATTTACAACATGCGTTTAGTTAGAATGCAATTAAAAGGCGCATCCGAGCATGCCAGCGTCATATACGAGGTGGCCAAAAATTTCTGATTAAATTAACAAAAAATATCAATAAAATAACACTAAAAATATAAAAATAAAACAGTAAAACAAACCAGTAAAAATAAAAAATAACAAGGTTTTATTACTCTTAATATTTTACGTAATTCCCAAGATATTCAACAAATTTGGTAAAACGATGATAAAGTTATAAAAATCTTTTGATATCTTCTTCAAATCGTCGGTTATTTTTTTTTGAATATCCTCAAATTATTTCTTTTTTAATTTTGGAGAACAAAAAGTAATCAGATATTGGATTGAACATTTGCTGCCAGCCAATTACTTTTTATTTTTTAAATTAATTTGTATCTAAAAAAACAATTTTAGAACATTAAAAATATTTAAAAATGTCAAAACCGATGAATTGAAAAAAATATGAAAAAAAAAACTTCCGAAACATTTTTCAGATACATCACGGGAATTGTGTAAAAATTAAGAGCAAAAAAATTTTATAAACTTTCAGTGTTTATATATCGATTCTGGAGTTTTCAACCATTATGCATGCATTATTGTATATTTAGTTTTAGAATAAGGAAGCATATATTTTTATCACCCAACGCCAACATCACATACTCCAAGTAAGTATGTCAAATAATGTGTTTTGCTGATTTCTCTCACCATTCCTGCTGCTGTAGACTTTGACGAATCCCTTAAACGGTTCCGGAGGTGGGAAACTCGACACCGTGTGAAACATCTCAGTAAATCGCATTTCTAAGTCAACGGAGGTCACTGCCTGACCACCGCCATTGCGCACCGACAAGCTTCTGGTAGGAGGAGTCGGAGGAGGCGGTGGTGGCGGTGCCAGTCTCTGATGCGTGGGTGCGGGACGATGCGGGAGCGGCGGCGGCGGCGGCGGTATGCAAGGTGCGGTGACCGTTACTCTCGACGGCGGTGGCGGTGCCGCTCTCATCGCGGTTGCGGCAGGCATGGTGTTCGTTCGCGAGGCCGGCGGCGACGGAGGTTTCATCCGTGAAGTCGGCGGCGACGGCGGTCTCGTTCGCGAAGTCGGCGGTGATGGAGGTTTCGTTGTAGGCATGATACCCGTCCGCGAAATCGGCGGCGATGGTGGTCTCGTTACGGGTGGCCTGAGCACTCGATTCGTATGTCTCGTGGGTTGCGGCATGGTCTCGTTCAGACAATCCTGCGACTGGTGCAACGACGAGGGCACCAAAACCGGCGGCGAGCGCGGTAGTCGCATGCTCTGCGCCCTCGCCACGCTCGCGCTATTCAGATTTAACTTCTTAGGCGGCGGTGATGGCTTCTGTAGAGAGGGAGACGACGTTGGTTTAGGCACGACGGTGGACTTCGCAAATCCTCTGGGTGTAATGTCTGAATTATTTGTCGCAGAATCGATACTTTGTCCCTGCTGTAATCAATAATTTTATAAGTATACAATCAATAATTTTATAAATATACAATCAATAATTTTATAAGTATACAATAAATATTACAACTAATTCAATAATTTTTTTACCTGACTGAATAATTGTGGTTTCTGCGCAGCTGGTGGTGGAACCGGAGGTGGTCCACGCTTTATACTGTGAGATGATCCGGGCGACGAGTGAAGGAAGCTAGAATTATTTACACTTTGTCCCTCCTTGTCCGTCATATTCCCTCTCAGTCCTGTTGGTTTTAATTTTGGCATACCACCCGCGAATAATCCACCCAATGACATAGGCCCACCATTATTGGAGTTACTCACTGTATTGGAATTATTATTCCTACTATTGCTATTCAATGAAGGGCTTGTTGCCTCACCTTTTACTTTCCCTAAAATAGATATTTATTGTTATTTTCTAATTTCTCATGTGATTACATTATAATAAATATAAATTTAAAATGACAATTCTTTATCATATTATTTACTCTTGTTCAATAAATTTGACATTATATACACTTTTGTGTTAAATATATGTTAATAAGTAATATATTTAACATAATATGCAGCTTTATTCCCAATTGCTTATTTAGACTGATATAACATATATATATATATATATATATATATATAGATATAGATATATATCACCAAATATTTTAATTTTAAATTTTTGTTCCCACATGTATATAACAAGACATTTTTACCTTCAAACTTGACAATTAATACAGTTCACGTATAATTTCGTATACTTCTAGTTTACTACTAGTAATTTACCAGCGACAGCTGGTGCACTTTTGTCCACAGTGACAGTTTTCTTCAAAGTTTTGCCCGTCCTTATGGACTGCAGCAGTAAGCCCCTTTGGTCCCCCGCTGGTGGGCCAAAAACGTTGGCCTGCGGAGGCGGCGGCGGCGGTGGCACAGACATTCTCGTTATCCTCCTGCAAAGCATGACAAAGATGTAACATTTGATCGACACCGATAAGAAACGAAATGTCATATGGATGAGGAATTTCTTTATGAGAACGTGAAACACTCCGCGGCAAACCAAAAATATACATCTATGGAATTTTATTTTCTAATTTGACGGCCATTATTTACGATTTACGATTTCGGATCGTTCCATCGAGATGTGTCATTCACGCGGGGAGGGATCAGCCCGTTTCCCGTTTTCAGAGCGCAGATGAGAAAATCCCAGGAACAACGAGGCCCTGGTCACAGGGACCGGTGGTGTGCGGTCCCCGACGATGAGGCCCTCGGTAATAATCCCGCTAAATCCCGCGCCGAGGTGTTCACGTGTGCGAGGGGAAAAGACATTTCTTCTTCGCGCGACGCGCGAGAACACACCTTAAAGGCCGTTTTTATCCCTTTATCTTGCCCGTGCCGTTTCGCACGCGTGCGATTGTGATTATTACGGGATGCGAGCGATTACCCAGATTAAACGGCTGTCGCAGCTGTATTTACGTCCGGAGATAGAATTCGCGGCCAATGACACTCATAATTAAACGGGGGCCTGGCGGATGGGATCCGTGCCTATGATCCGCACTGTGACACGGCGACATAGATTATGGCGTCATCAGATCCGTCAAAGCTGGGGGTCCACTCGCGCCCTGCCATGAACGACGAATATCGCAAGTTGAGAAATACGCTGTCGCGAATTGATTTTTCATCCGCGTTTTCAATCGCGAATGGTAAGGGTATATTCACAAATCCATACAAATAATCTGGACCAATCATATATGCCTAAAATAAAGGAAGCCAATGATTGGTCTATTTCCTTATGCATATGCAAGTTTGTCTGGATATACCTTTAGACTCACTGGTTTCTTCTTCGTATGGTTAATAACCTCTTTCTTTTACGACAGGGAACGGTATGTATTACGCGTAAAAATCTGTAACTTTCTCAATAATCATGTATAAAACGAACGTTATGTAGTAATTAATTGATCGTCAATGATTTTTCCTAGTGTTTAAGCGTAATATTTTGTGGAATAAGATAAAAGCGCAAGAAATATAATCAAAGTGACTCATATTGTATCTATTGTTTTAGTAATTCTAAACAGAACAAAATGTCCATTCGACCGGTCTACCGACCAAAAATTGTAAAGAAGAGAACTAAAAAGTTCATAAGGCATCAAAGTGATAGATATGACAAACTCAAGGTTGGTATATTGCTTCATTTTTATAATTGCATGTGCGTGTCTGTAAAGTTTGGTTATGTATTTGTATTATGGATTGCATTATATTTATGTGATAAAAAATACTTTGCAATCGAATAAATTTGCTAAAGCCTTTAGTAGGATACACAGTATTCAACTCAATAAAAATTTAAATATTTTTCTTGCATGCCATATTTAATGTCATTAATTTAACCGTATTCTGCAATCACTTATTCTTCAAAGTTTTAATTTTCTGGATATCATTAAGTGGCATATTTTATAAAAACTACAATTATTTAATATTTTGTAGCGCAACTGGCGTAAACCAAAAGGTATCGATAACAGAGTCCGCAGGCGTTTCAAGGGACAGTATTTGATGCCTAGCATTGGATATGGTAGCAATAAAAAAACACGGCATATGCTACCAACTGGCTTCAGGAAGGTCCTAGTACACAATGTTAAGGTAAAGAACACTTTGAAATCAATAAATTTAGATACTTATCAAAACTAAAATTTGCATGGAAAAAACAAATTCCTTAAGCAATTGCAATCATCTTTGTCAAATTTATCTTACATCATATATTTTTTATCATAATTTATTTGTTGTAACGTAATGTTATAGAAATAAAAAAAAAATAGAATATAAGGAGATATATTTTCTTTTCTATTTTTTGTATACTTGATAATATATAAATAAAGGCTAATTATTTACAGGAACTTGAAGTCTTGATGATGCAGAATCGTAAATTCTGTGCGGAGATTGCACATGCAGTCAGTAGCAAAAAAAGGAAAGCTATCGTTGAGCGTGCACAACAGCTCTCGATACGTGTGACTAATGCCAGTGCACGTTTACGTTCGGAAGAGAACGAGTAAACATTGTTTTCCGTCTGTATTTTGGAAATAAAATATTAAAAATATTTCCTGTCTTCTCAATCTTAGTTTTTTTTATATAAACATTTGTAAAACTTAAAAAAACTCAGAATTCTTGAACTGTTCACATATGTAACAGTAATAAGCTTTTCAAGTTGCAAGATTTATTATATTTATCGATTCACTTACTGAATGCGCAATTGCAGATCCAGTACGCATAGTAGTTTACATCTGTTCTTTAACACGTAGAAAAAAATAAAGAATTTTATTATGGGTGTTCAACGCGATTATTCACGCATCGGAGGAGTTTAATAATCCTTATATTTCTTAAGAAGTTATTAATATTTCTACATGCTTCCATTATATTTTCAATCTACATTATCCTGAAAAATTAATTTTACATATCCTGGCGTTCCCTCCAGCGGCACCGCGCAGAAGGGACAGATCGCGATATAGCCGTTTGTGCCATGCGGTATGGCTACCTTTTCCCAATATCTGCAAAATAAATATAAATAACGAATAGAAGACATCGTGTAAAAAAAATCAAATGGTATACTTCAAATATAATAGACTAGCGATTGGCGTAAGTTACTAACTTGACAGTCTTTTCTGTCGCCATATGTCCACAAGGACTAAATGCGTAAGTGGGCGGTCCGCAGTCCACGTAGAAGGCAGGCTCTATTCCCATAGATAGCTTGACTACTGCTCCTGCGACCAGGCACATAGGACACCTCCTTGTAACCTTGTCCTTCTCCTGACCCCAATCGTGATGTCCTTGCACGTGACCACACTTGAGGTAAACATATGGCTGCTGCTGCGCCGAGTCCGAAGCCGCTTTGCGCGGTATGACCAACGTATTCAGGCCTACTGGACACTGCGGTCTGCCGGCGTTTATAGCGTCAACTAATTCCTCCAAATCTTGTTTCGTCTGCAAAG